TTCGAAGCAGCCATTTTCTCCGGGGGAGCTGACCTCTGTCATCTGGAGATCAGTTGCAAAAACGGGATATCTCCAGGCCTCACCTGGAGGCTGGCAACCCTAGCCACTGACTACTAACTGACAGCCTAAATTACGGTAAAGGTGGGCTTGCACAGCCATACCTGAAATCAAGTTATCTCAGCGCTGCAAGTTTCTCACTTCTCTGTTAATCACTTTTTACTCCGGCAGCTCCCAAGCCGCTTTCCTTTCATGGCTGCTGGCCTGCAAAACACACCCCCCCCCCTCCACGAAGCTATTTGGCATCAACCCCCTAGCAGGCAAGCTCCCATCCCTCGATAGCCATGAAATCTGTAATCGGCTGCAATGGGACGGGCCGTGCAGGACTCCACAGGCACACTGGGGCGGCTTAAATGGAGTTTGCCTCTATCTCCCTCCTCCCTCTCTGCCTCTCTTGCCAAGTGGCTCAAACCCAAAACCTTCGACAGCTTTATGGGTCACACTTGTACCTTTCGGAGTCTCTGTAAAATATCCTTTTGGGCCTCCCCCCTCTCAGTTATATTGACTGTAGGCGGGCAGCCTGGAGGGCAGCGTATTTGTTTCAATTTTATTCGCTTCTCAAGGTGCTTTCTGTGCGAAAAGCAGCGCAGGCGGTGGATGGAGCCAGAGACTTCAGCTTGAGATCTTCAAAGTGGCTCCAGCCTGGAGTAAAACCCAAACGGGATTCGGGCGCCTGACTCTCCCGGGGCCGCTTTGGAGCTCCCAGAGCTTTGCTTCAGACCACTCACTTCTTACAAGAAGCAGGGGGCAAGCGGGAGACGAAGCGAGAAGCAGAGGTGCCAAAGTGTGATGCAAGTTTTATGGAGTTTTTCGTGGGGGAACTGCCTTGCAACCTTTTAGCGACTTAAAAAAAACACACCCCTAAGATGAGGAACCAGAATTCAGCTTGAGAGATATTTAGAACCTCCACGTTTAGAGGCAGTGAAAGCCCTTTGCTGACTTTTTAAAAAATTGTCGGTTGTATATTTAGCAATGATAATTAGTATTGTTTTTAATCTTAGTATATTTACTGCCACTAGGCTGCTCCTGGCCCCAAACAGCGATTTGCTCTGGAGCCCTCCTTCCTGAGCTAAGACAACAATGTGTGAGCTGGAGGCTAAAAACTGTGAGCTAGCTCACACTAACTCAGTTTAGAGGGAACACTGGGTAGGGATAAACATGGCTGGGAGCGTATAGAAGCTGTGGCTGTTCCCAGGGCCACACGGGGACTGAATCCCCGCTTCATCCCGTTGCCGCTGTGAATGCAGAGGCAATTGCGGTGGGATGCAAGGCCTGCCCGCCCCCCGCCCGCCCACACAGGGCAGCTCCTCATTCTTTCCAACATTGCCTGTAACCCAGTAAGCCATTATTATTGCACCCATTTTGCAGATGGCACCTGAGGCTGAAGAGACACTGACTTCTCCAAAGCCATCTGCGGAGTTTGCGCCCAAAGTGAGGTTTGAACTGTCAGCAGCCTGGGTCGCAGCTTTGTCACTGGGCTACACCAGCTCTCAGACTTACAGTGGCCTTACAGTAGAAACCCGGAAGAGTTACACCCTATTCTAAATCCACTGAAGTCAATGGGTTTAGAAGGGTGTAACTCTGTTTCGGATCGCACTGTTGAGCCGAGAAGAGAGTTGGACTCCTAAACCAGCAACTACACTCACATTCATCCCTTATAACTTTTCTCCTCCTCCTTCCTCTTCCTTTTATCTCCTCTGCTATTAAAATTTACATTGTGCCAATTCCTTGGGGGCAGGGACCTGTCTTTGTAGATATAAATTGCTCTGTAAAGCATCACACACCATGATGGCATGCTTTAATGATCTTCACCTTGAAGAATCTCACTTTTAAAAAAAGAAAGCCTGAACTTAAGCAAGTACCAAATTAATTGCAGTGCGCGATGCTTTCAGTGGCCAAACTTCGGAGCAATTCCCAAGTCCTTGATTTCTTCCAGCAACCAAGAGATGAAAGAAAAATAACCTTAAAACTTAGTCCTCCCTCTCCCTTTTGTGGTCAAAGCCTTGAAACCCGACAGTAGACAAAGAGTTAAAGCGAACCCCACGGAAGGCTGATAAAATGCCACAAAGTTTCTCATTCCTGCTGGGGATGTGTGTGTGTGTGTGTGTATGTGTGATCTGGAAAATGTCATCAATAAAAACTACATTTAAATGGTATGAGATGCAGCTGCTACTGTGGGCAGAGTTATAAGCAATCTGATGAGAAGGAGCTTTAAAGTGCCGTTATGGTGCAGCCTTATCCATCTAGAGACGACAGGGCTTCTGTTTCTGGTTTCCCTCCCTCCCCCCGCCACCCCCCCTCCGCCATCCATCAGCATCAAGTACAGGCACAGCCAAAGCAGAGGAGTGGAAGGGGAGCAGAATGGATCAATGGGGCACCTCTCCTTTTCAGAGGTGCCCGGACTTTCCAGGATTTGCCCTTTAATTCCCACAATTCCGTACGGAGTGGGTGTCCCCTACAAATCTGCGTGACTGAAGTCAAGGCTGACATGTATGAACTGGACAAAGCTAGGGTCCAGTGGGGGCACCTTTAAGACCAACAAAGTTTTATTTAAGGTGTGAGCTTTCGTGTGCAAGCACACTTCCGCAGACAAATGCAAACAACATTCCTTCAAGCCTTACAAACACGAAGATGTTTGTGTGTGTGTGTGTGTGTGTGTGTGTGTGTGTGTGTGTAAGCATCGGGAATAACCAGTCAGAGTTAAGATGTGTAAGTGAAGCCGAGATTGGATCAAGGCAGTAAGAACAATGGATGGCAGCAAATTAGCACACAAATGCGAGAGCTCACAAACAGACCGAGAAGGAAGCCTGGAGCCTGAGTCCAGCGGCACCCCCAAGACCAGCCAAGCTCAACCCCCAACTTTGTTGGTCTTCAAGGTGCCAACTGGACGCAAACTTTGTTCTGCTGCTTCAGACCAACACGGGGACCCACCTGAATGTATGAACCGAGGTACTACAGAGCAGTTGTCGAGGACGGAACTTCTGTATGTCATCCAAAAAATACTTTCTAAATGGAATCTGTTCAGATAGTTATCCAGTACCGTAGAGATGTACACATCCATGTGTCAATGGGTCCGTCATTCCACATATAGTACTACCCTGGACTCTAAAACAGTCGTGCTAGACCTCAGGTAGCCCTGGTGAGAGATCTGTGAGCTGGACTTGCAAGCATCTTTTGAAGGAAAAGGACTCCTGGGTAGAGTCTGGATTGTGATGGTAGCTATGGGATAGGGTTGCCAGCTCCAGGTTGGGAAATTCCTGGAGACTTGAGGGGTCAAGCCTGAGGAGGGCGGGGTTTGTTGGAGGGGAGGGTCCTCAGCAGGGGCGGATTAAGGCTCACGGGTGCCCTCCGCCTCGACCAATCTTGGTGCCCCCCCTCCTTTCCACACTGACTCCCAGTCCATTTTAGTTGTTGACCCGTCTGACCAGATATACAATGCAGGTTGCAGCAACACATACATTTATTCATATGATAACACAATAGACTGTACAAACTAAGCTTTTCACCCTTTTCCCAACTTTGTGGTGCCCCCTTTGGCCCTGGTGCCCTAAGCACGTGCTTCGTCTGCTTCATGGTGGATCTGCCCCTGGTCCTCAGCAGGGTATCATGCCATAGAGTCCATCTTCCAGAGCAGCCATTTTCTCCAGGGGAACTGATCTCTGTAGTAGGGTTGCCAGCCTCCAGGTGGTACCTGGAAGTCTCCTGCTATCAGCGTTCCCTCTAAGCTGAGTTAGTGTGAGCCAGCTCACAGTTTCTTAGCCTCTGGCTCACCCGTTTTTGTCTTCGCTCAGGAAGGAGGGCTCCAGAGAAAACTAATGTATGCAGGAGCCAAATTGCTCGCTCACAACTTTAATGCCGGTAGCTCACAAAGTAGAATGTTTGCTCACAAGACTCCACAGTTTAGAGGGAGCATTGCCCGCTATTACAATTGATATCCAGCCAACCATGATCAGTTCCCCTGGAGAAAATGGCTGCTATGGAAGGTAGACTCTATGGTGTGATACTCTGCTGAGGCCCCTTCCCTCCCCAAACCCTGCCCTCCCCAGGCTCCACCCCTCAAATCTCCAGGTATTTCCCAACCCAGAGCTGTCAACCCTACTCAGTTATAATTCTGAGAGATCTCCAGGCCCCATCTGGAGACTGGCAACCCATAAGAGCAGGGCCTGAGACAGGAGAACTGGAAGAAGGGGAGGAAGCAAAGATGGTCACATGCTGGGGTGAGGAAGTCTTTCTGAAGAAGAGGAGATTGGAGTTATACCCCACCCGTCACAGCCCAAAGGAGTCTCAGAGTGGCTTACAATCTCCTTTCCGTTCCCCTCCCCACAACAGACGCCCTGTGAGGTAGGTGGGGCTGAGGGAGTTCTTTCAAAGACTGCTCGTGAGAGAACAGCTCTGAAAGAACTTGTGACTGACCCAAGGTCACACCAGCAGCTGCACGTGGAGGAGTGGGGGAATCAAACCCAGTTCTCCCAGATTAGAGTCCCCGCTCCTAACCACTACACCAAACTGGCTCTGAAGTGATCCTGGGTCCAGTATGATCAATGGCTGGAGGAGGTGAGATCACGGGAACCCCCCCCACACACACACACACGTACCTTGCGCACTTTCTAGAGTTCAACGAAGGAAGAAAGGAAGGACGGAAATGAAATGGTATCAATAAAACCAGGCGAGAAAATGAGCAGAGAGGTGCACAGGGGGGATGGCTAAGGGGAGAGCCGAGGAAGCCCATTTGCTAATTGTTTGGAGGAAGTCACGAAACCCAGCTGCAGGCCTCTAGCGCTTCTCTCTAATATTTACATGCAGACCAAACCACAGAACCCTTGAAAACAAGGCTCTCAGACGAACTTAACTGTTCCTAAACTGCCTTCCTGTCTCCGGTGGCTTAGTCCAGTCAAACAGGCTTGCTTTGATTCTTAATAGTTCTTACCCCCCCCCTTCCCTAGATCATTCTCAACTCGATGCACAAATACCAGCCGAGGCTGCATATTGTGAAAGCTGACGAAAACAACGCGTTCGGTTCCAAGAACACGGCCTTCTGCACCCACGTGTTTCCAGAAACGTCCTTTATCTCCGTCACCTCCTATCAGAACCACAAGGTAAGCTGCCCAGAAGCCCGGGAGTAAATCTGATTTATCTGTTTTTTTAAAAAATGGGGTGAGGTGGAAGCACCTTCTACTCTGAGCCTCCAGAAGAAACACCCGACTATAAAAGCATCATGTAGGAAATCTCGGGCACAATCCTTGCCATATCTGGTTTGACTGGATTTTGGGCAGAAGGGCGGAGAAAGACTTCTGTCTGCCCAAGACCCTGGAGAGCTGTGGCCAAAGGAGACATTATTATTGTTGAGCTAGAGGGAACAAAAGTCTGGTCTGGGACCAAACTAGATTCCCCATGCAGCTTTAGGAGGTGGGCTGGATTCAAAAGGAGGTTGAATGGTGGAATGGTGGTCTCTCCCCCCACCCCCTGCCATGTCATTTTCCTGAGGTAAATCTTCTGTCCACTGAACGCATGGCAGGGGAAACCTTACAGGTGCCACAGGTTACATTTGACAAGCCTTTATTGGCATACGTGGTGCCACAGGTTTACCTCAGGCTCTAGCTTGTTGTGCTGAAGCAGGCCATTTCAAGCGTTTGCATATATTTTTAAATTTTATTTATTTTACTTCATTTACACCGTACTTTCCCCCCCAGTGGGGACCCACAGCAGTTTATATCATTCTCCTCGCTTCCATTTTATCCTCACAACCCTCCTGTGTGGTAGCTTAGATTGTGTAACTGGCCCGAGGGCACCCAGGAAATTTCCATAGTAGAGAGGGAATTCGAACCTGGGTCTCCCAGATCCTAGTCTGGTGTTCTGACTGCTACACCCTATGGCCACTGTAACACCTTAAGAAAGCCATTTTAAAGCTTTAAGACCTTTTGCTATCCTTATTGGGTACTCTCTTGCAATGCTCCCTCTAAGCTGCAGACTCCTGTGAGCAAAATGTCTACTTTGTGAGCTACTGGCCTTAAAGTTGTGAGCCAGCTATTTGGCTACTGCATAAATCCATTTGCTTTGGAGCCCTCCTTCCTGAGCGAAGGCAGAAATGTGTGAGCCGGAGGCTAAAAAACCGTGAGCTAGCTCACACCAACTCAGTTTAGAGGGAACACTGCAGTCTCTTGGTGTTCTTCTGATGACTTGTCTGGGGGCAAAATCACATGCTCTCTTTATTTTTATTTAGCTTATTATAATTCACTTCATTTAACCTTTCTCTCCACTGAGGACTCAAAGCAGCTTCCATCGTTCTCTTCTCCATTTTATCCTCAGCCTCACCCTGTGAGGTTTGGTAAGCTGAGAAAGTGTCACTCAGCAAGCTTCCATTAGGCAGGCATAGGAACATGGGTCTCCCAGGCACACCATGCTGCCTTAAAGTTTTGCTCTGGGGGAAAAACTGCTGGCAATTTTAGTCCCCCTCGGTTTCAGTGGGGAAAGTCAAGCAGACACTCCGCTCCTTCTCATGGGACTTCGAAATGCTTCCTTTTGCCTGGATCACAGCCTCTCAATGTACAAGCAAGTGTGAAGGGCCTCCAACTCCAGCATAGATTCCTCTGATATATTTATAACACCATGCTGCCTTAAAGTTTTGCTCTGGGGGGAAAACTGCTGGCAATTTTAGTCCCCCTTGGTTTCAGTGGGGAAAGTCAAGAAGACACTCAGCTCCTTCTCATGGGACTTCGAAATACTTCCTTTTGCCTGGATCACAGCCTCTCAATGTACAAGCAAGTGTGAAGGGCCTCCAACTCCAGCATAGATTCCTCTGATATATTTATATATTCTTACTACTCACGGAGTACGTTCCTTCACCTCGTGTGAGTTTTCCTGCTTTCCCCTGCAATGATGAAATTTTAATTTTAGGGCTCAGCAAACACATTTATGGGAGGGGAGAGCTGAAATTATGGGCATCTTGCCTAAGGTTGATTAATGATGGTACAAGAGGGAAGATCATGGTTGCGGGAGATGAGGGAGAACCGTGGATGGCATAGGCTCGAGGGGATGGTGCTGGAAACCTATGGAGCTGCCACCACCCCCCCTAAAATAAATGGCAGATGTGCTAGGGTTGCCAGCTAGGGATCCCTTGGGATTATAATTGCTCTCTGGGCAACAGAGACCAGTTCACCTGGAGAAAATGGCGGCTTTGGAAGGTGGATTCTATGGTATCATAACCCATTGAAGCCCCTCCCCTCTCCAAACCCCGCCCTCCTCAGTCTCCACCCCCAAATCTCCAGATATTTCCCAATCTGGAGTTGGCAACCCTATGCATTACAGGCAGCCTTGCAGATTGTGGTCTCTCGTAAGGATATCTGCATCTATATCTATACATCTGTCTCCTTACGAGACTTTGCAATCTCTCTCTCTCTTTTTACTATAAAAGAGGACAGGGGGGTCAGAAACTGGGCGGTTACTATTTAAAGAAGAAGAAGAAGAGATGGGATTTATACCCCGCCCTTCACTACCTAGAGGAGTCTCAGAGCGGCTTACAAACTCCTTTCCCTTCCCCTCCCCACAACAGACACCCTGTGAGGTGGGTGGGGCTGAGAGAGCTCTTGACAGAAACTGCTCTTTTTCAAGGACAGCTCTTATCAGAGCTAAGGCTTGCCCAAGGTCATCCAGCAGCTGCAAGTGGAGGAGTGGGGAATCAAACCCGGTTCTCCCAGATTAGAGTCCGCGCACTTAACCACTATACCAAACTGGCTGCCAATCAGTTTCATTGGGTGGAACACATCTTACCCTCTCTCCTGATCCTAGGCTGTGGGGCCCAACCCACTGAAGCTGGCTGAGGGGAGACGAAAGGCCCTAATTCTTCCCCCAACACATGATTAATGCAAAAAAGATTTCTGCCACGGAATGTGGGGATGGCCGCCAGCCTCCGTGGTTTGCATAAGAGGCATAGATAAGTTTCGGGGAGGAGAATTAGTCTATCAACAGCTATTAGCTGAGATGGCTGGAGAGAACCTCCCAGCACACAGGCTGAGGCAGGGGGTGGGGGTGGGGGGGAGGAAGGAGCAATTTCTCTCCGTGCCTGTTTGTGAGCTTCCAGAAGCTGCAGAAAGAGGATGCTCTCCTGGATGGACTTCGGTCTGATCCAGAAAGGCGGTTCTTTGGATCCTAAAGGTGGTTGAAATGTTGGGATTGGTCGTCGGGTAGCTGATGTGTTGCGACAGGCACGTACACACCAGCTCAGGACAGTTTTGCCAAAGCTCAGAGGATGCAGCTCAAGAGAGGAAGGAAAGTGTACTCTCCCTCCCTCCCTCCCTCCCTCTATTTTTTGGGGGTCTATTTTTTTTCTAAAAGGCATCTTGGCAGTCGATGGTGAGCCCAGTCACTAATGAATCAGAGACCATAAACTCTCAGATGTCATTCAAAACAGCAAGCAAACCTAATAATGACTAGTAAAGCCCAGTCATAAATCTACAGTGAAAAGTAATTACGGCATATGTATTTAGGGAGACATACAAGGAATGTTACTATAAAAGCTGCGTTAAGAGCCTGCCTTGCGGTCAGAACATGAAGGGGAAGAAGGGTTTTTTTGGAAAGGGGGCTGAGTGGGCGTGCGAGAGAGAATCGGAGAAAGCAAAACACAAAAAGTGTACAGTTCTTGTCCTTGTGGTGGATTTGCATCCGTTTTGTATGTGTGTGTGTGGGGGGGGGCGTTGGTCTGATTGGATGTGAACAGCCATGATGGGCTTGAAAACAAGATCTGCATTGACGATTTCTACACTACACTCTCTCTCTCTCTGTGTGTACATGTGTATTTGTGTATTCATGCGTGCACAAGAGTCCATTTGCAGCCCCGTGGAACCCAACAGCCTCCACAGCCTACTGCAATTTACACTGGGCCACAGGTACCCAGTCTGTATTAGAGCGAGGAGGTTTCAATAGGGAGGGGCCGTAGCTCAGCGGCAGAGCCTCTGCTTGGCATGCGGAAGGTCCCAGGTTCAATCCCCAGCATCTCCACTGAAAAAAGACCTGGCAGTGACGGGAAAGACCTCTGCCTGAGACCCCGGAGAGCCACTGCCAGCCTGAATAAACCACACAGAACTCTCCAACAAACCTGTAGCTGCTTGAAGCAGAAATTTAAAGCCTGGCAGAAAATGTGCAAACACGCGTGGTGACTTCTCCTGGACCTCTCGTGGGCTGTGCAGGATGGAATTAGCACCGCTAACCTCCGGGTGGGAGCTGGAGACTGCTTGGAATTACAGCCGATCTCCAGACTACTTAAATAAGTTCTTTGTGTATTATTTATTTATCTGAGACATGTATTCCCTTCTCCTGGGGAGAATGGCTGCTTTGGGAGGTGACTGCGTGGCACGGTACCCTGCCCTGGTCCCTGAGCCAGCTGTCACTCAACAGGAGAGCGATCTTCTGCGCCCTCTGCTGGAGCAAATGCAGAAAATTAATCAGACTTTGACAAATATGGAAAGGGTTCTCAGCAACCAGCAGACACAGCTAAATGTGACAGCTAAGACAGCTAGATCCAAGTCCAGGCCTCCCGACCGAGGGAGCTTTGACTCTTGGAAACTTAGAGCCCGGAACTCCTGTTGGTTTCTGTGGTGCTCCCGGACTTGGAGAATTGGCAAGGCCGCGTAACAGATATTGGGAGGGGAGGGAGTACATGGGAAGGAAAAGGAAAGGCAGGGAAAGGCGCTTTCAAATGAACCGAGAGCGCAGCACTCGATGATAAGGATGCTGATCCTCGCCGGGTCCTTAATGCGCCGAGTCCCTGGCAACGTTGTCAGCTGAAAAGTGAAGCTGTCCAGAAGCAGCCTTCCCCCCCCCCCAGTGGCTTTATGGAGAGAGATCACCGTAAGGTCCCACTTAAAATGTCAGCATTACAGAGGGGGTCATATTTCTGCACAAATGACCCAGATATGTGCAGCTTCTCAGCTCTGGGCTGAGCGTTCCTTCCCCGACCAGGAATGTTTCTTGCCTTGGGAGGGCTGGGGAAGACCTAATTTCATTTTGTGACAAACTCTGGATCTGATACTCGGTACCTCGACCAAATGAGAGGAGATGAGGAAGGCAGAAGAGAGCTGGCGTTGCCATTTCCCACCCAGGA